GGACGGCGATTTTGATGTGTTAGCATTTTCCCTGGGATTGCCGGGCAGCGAAGGTCTGTTACATTGTGATACCGTGTATCCAGAAATCATTGTTGCAAATGGCGATTCTGGCGATTGGGACTGATGCGGATAACGTTTGCCGGCAAGGAAGAAGTCCTAGGGATTATATTAACTTTCGCCTATCGCCTCTTTATCGATGAAGGTTTGTTACGTTGGTGCTACGCAACGCATCGAAGGGGGAGCATTGGTGTCACCGTCGAAATTTGGGAACTATCATACACGTAGTTCGTATTCTTAAAAGCGATTGTAATGAGGCTATGTCCTTACTGTCGTTGGTTCGAATCCCACCGAGGTCGTAGAGTTTTCCCAACTGGAATAGTTAAAGACACATTACCGTTAACTTCCACATTTTCACCTGCATAATTTCTACTCAGTAATACTCAGTATAATTAACTTAATCGATCTAACACCCGAGGCTGGAGTGTGAGTGAGTCAGGCGGAATTTGAATCTATACGTTTTGTAAACACTTACCGGCAGCATCATGTCTGTAATTTGGACTTCTTAGGCACACCTTAAGGAAATCTTCTCCACGTGGGGCCAAGTGGCCTCCATAGAGATGCCGATGGACCACATGCATCCCGAATTCAGTCGTGGCTACGCCTACGTGGAATTCTCCTCTGCTCAGTCCGCCTCAGATGCCGTTAACTACATGAACGGGGGCCAACTCGATGGGCAGGAGGTCAGCGTTACGGAGGTTATGCCAAGAACCTTCAGACACTCTTCGCCTCCTACACATCGTGAGCGGCATCGCTCTCCCGGAAGGACCTCTGACCAACGGTTAGTCAGGCCGTGCCATCTCCCATTTTCCTATTATACATTCTTCCTACTGAGGTACTTCGTTGGAAGCTCTGCACCTGTTTCCCAGTTTGAAATTGTTATATTTGCAACAGTCTGTGGCATAATGATGCTCCAATTTAGATATCGCTGTTGCCGAACACCCGTCAGAATTAAAGGATAACTCACTTGTAGTTGACTATGGCTATCATGCCCTCACACCCTCACTCATCTCTTTATTAGCTGCCCCGTTATTTTGCCAAGTTGTTACAGTTAAAAAGAGCCTTATTTTGCGACACCAAAAGTTGTTTTGCATAGACCCGGTTTACTGCCTTTGTCTGATTCAGCCTCCCTCCTGCATTGAGTCACATCCGTGCCGTGCTCGTAGACGCCTTGTGTACATATTTATGCCTCCTTATTCCAACTTTGGATGAGCAAGGTCAGCTGACGTAGCAGTGTATATTTTAAGGACATATTGTGCGTGCATCTACCCGTATGACCTGCTATTAGACTTTGAGCTAATTGCGGCTAAGTCACAACATAAACTACGCTGGATTTTTTTCTAGATCAGATTTGTTGAAGGATTTGATTTCCCGGTCTTCGTGTGTCATGCCTATTTACACTCCGTATGGAAAGAAGAGCCCATTTGTGCGGCTTAAGAGTTAAAGGTGCATGGAAGTGCTGCTCGCTTATTTTTTTCTGTTTGTCTTAAAGTTTCGGCATAAAACCCTCGTAGTCGGTCGTAGGATGTCGAACAAATATTTCCAATAAAGCCAGAGCAGATAAGGATCGTCCTTTACGTTAATCAGTAATGGTGCCTGGCCATGACCTTGCATTCCTGTGTAGTTGCATCCCTAGAGAACCCAAACTCGCATGTGTGCCATAGGTATAAAGATTGCAGGATATACACTGAGTCTTGAAACGTCAGAAAGCATTATTGTGCATTGGTCTTACAAAACACGATGCTAGGGAATTCATCTGTCACAACCTCAAGTCCACTCTTCGTTGTATGCGCACTTATCCCGCTTTTATAACTGCCGGTTGCCTATGAAGAATACCGGGGCGATCTGTTAAGGTGAACCACGGTTGTATGTCTTTGGGGCTGTTTTTCGAACAGCTGTCCATGAAAGTTGTCGGTTTCCCTCGTTATCGGTACCTCCAGCCCACATGTGTATTAATAATTTTGATATCTAAGATTTTTGTTTCAGTAAACTGTTAGTCTAAAAGCTAGTTTTTTGCCGTCTTCGTCACAGTTTAATCACGTTTTATTTTCCTTGCACAGCGCTTCCCTAGTACACATGCATCTCGGGCTTATTGGTAGGTATGCAGGTTTCTGACTTATTCCACCACAACCTGCGATCACGTTTTTATTTATTGTCCTGCATGTTGATAGTGAGCATGGTTGTCTGAAGGTAGACTAAGCCCGAAACAGCCTCGTCCCACTCTATCCGTATCTTTTTGGATACTTCCGTCTGGTATATCATGATCGAACTCGGC